GGGTGGCACCACGACACCGGGGGTGACGCCACGACACGGGAGGGTGACACCACGACACCGGGGGTGACACCACGACACGGGGGGGGTGACACCACGACAGGGGGGGTGGCTCTGTGACCCCCAATCCCGCCCCCCCCGGGGTGTTTTGGGGTCAGAGCCGTTGGGATCCGGGCTGGGAGAAATCCCTGGAGATTTTGGGGACATTGGGGTGTGGGGAGGGGACAGTTGGGGTCTGGGGACAGCGGGATGGTGGCACAGGGAGATGTCCCTGCGAGCAGCGCAGCTTTAATTCCCGATCTTCCCAAAATTGCCGGTGTTCCCGGTGTCTGGAGCGCTGTGGGTGTGGAGGTGACTCCCGGGGCGGATTCCAAGGAAAACTGTCCGGGATGAGCTGAAACTGCCCCAAAACCGGGAAAGGGACCCCGCTGTCCCGACTGCGGGATGGGACGGGGACACGGCGGGGGTGGGACACGGGATGGCACCGCAGGGGATCGGGATCGGGATCGGGATCGGGATGGGGACACGGGATCGGGATCGGGATGGGGACACGGGATCGGGATCGGGATGGGGACACGGGATCGGGATCGGGATGGGGACACGGGATCGGGATCGGGATGGGGACACGGGATCGGGATCGGGATGGGGACACGGGATCGGGATCGGGACATGGTGGGATCGGGACGTGCAGTAGGATCGGGAGCCACTGTGGGGTCAGGGCACAGGATGGGATCGGGACGCGGGATGGGGCCAGGAATCACAGTGGGATCAGGGATCACGGAGGGATCAGGACCCGTGTCCCACCCCCAGCGCTCCGCAGGCTGCGGGATCGGAGCCGCTGTGGGACCGGAGCCGCTGTGGGATCGGAGCCGCTGTGGGATCGGAACCGCTGTGGGACCGGAGCCGCTGTGGGACCGGAGCCGCCGCTGCTCCCGGACCCCGCGGCACCGGGAATGCGGCGCTCGGGGCCGGGGGCTGCGGGGCCTCAGCCCTTCCTGCAAGGGGGGGACACGGAGTGAGCCCCGCGCGGGGTCCTGCTGCCCTGGGGACACGGGTGACGACGGCAGTGACACCGCCGTTCCTTGCTCTGTCCCCTCCTCAGGGTGTCCCCCCTTCCCGGGATGTCCCCACTCCCTGGGCTGTGCCACCTCTCCTCCGGATGTCCCCTCTCGCCAGGATGTCGCCCCTTGCGGGATTTCCCGGTCCGTGGATTGTGCCACCTCCCCGGGATGTCCCCATTTCCCGCGATGTCGCCCCTCCTCGATCTGTCCCCCCTCCCGGGGCTGTCCCCCTCCATCTGTCCCCCCTCCCGGGGCTGTCCCCCCTTCTCAGGGCTGTCCCCCTCCTCCTGTCCCCCCTCCCGGGGCTGTCCCCCCTCTCAGGGCTGTCCCCCTCCTCCTGTCACCCCTCTCAGGACTGTCCCCCTCCTCCTGTCCCCCCTCCCCGGTCTGTCCCCCCTCCCCGGGTCCCCCCACCGAGTACCGGGCCGGGGGACACCTGCGCCCGCTGCCT